TGCTGTAGTTTCTGATTCTTGCTGACCAGAGGTACATGATGACAGCTCAACAGTTGATGAACTGATATCGCCATTGGCCTGGACATTCTGATTTAAAGCTGGAATCCCCTCGTCCTCTGCAATGTCCATGGCAACCAATGGGCCAGTCTCCAGCACGTGTGCTTCATGCTCCGACACCTTTGATGTTTCCGCTTCATGGTCAATCACTCCCAATGGTTCTACTTCCATTTTTGCAACTCCAAGAAGCAGTGAAGGACTGCTGTCCTCGCAAGGTGCTGCTGTAGTTTCCGAGAATGAAGCAGTGAAGGTGACCAGTGGACCAGACTCATGCATGGCTGCTTCATTCTCGGATACCTTTGAAGATTCTACTTCGGTTTGCACGACTGTAAGAGAAGGCAGTGAAGGTGATGCCTTAGTTGGAGAAATGTCATCCTCCGCCACTTCTGATGGTTCCGTTTCAGTTTGTGCAACTCTTGGAGACAGTAAAGGCAATGCCTCCTTTTGAGAAACTTCATGCTCTGTCACCTTTGATGGTTTTACCTCAGTTTGTGCAACTCTGAGAGGTAGTGAAGGTGACGCCTTAGTTTGAGAAGGTGCTGCTGCCCTAGATTTTGGTTCTTCTTGCTCAAAGGTAAGAGTTGCAGGGATTGTCTTCGGAGTAGAAGGAATCCAAGAGTTCTGTGTGGCCAATGGTGAAAACAGAACCTTCGTGGGTTGCAGTTGTGCCCGTGCACCGGCTTTTTGTTCAACAGATTTCTCCTGAAGACATAACAGAACCAAGAGTGTTAGAACAAATAAAGAGCATTGGCATCATTACAAGAAAGAAAACATACAATTCACTTACGGCATCAAAATATCCAATCTTGGGTGTAGGCCTTCGTAGACCAGATGGTTTAAAACCATTTCCTTGGGTTGATGTGTCGACATTAGATTTCACATTATCAGCAAATGCTCCTGAAGCCTGTCCTTCTCTAACAATAACAGGCCTCCGTAGTGTGGTTGGAGGGTGGTCATTGCTCTTTCTGGTGGAAGGGGACAATGAAGACGACCTTGTACTAAAGGTCTCAGATGTATGACTCGCTCTCCCTACAGTGGATGCTGTTGAAACCCCAGAAATCACAGAACTCATGCTGTCCACAGAACTGCTTGGTGAAATGGTCGGTGATGCACTCTCACCATGACTCTTATTTCTTGATGCCCTTGCTGGGTCAACCTTGCTGATATCAGATCTTGATGATGAACGAATAGGGATCCTCTGAGCGGTCCTGTTCTTGCTGATTAGGGTCGGTGACTTTGTTTTCCCACCTGCCATGGGAGCACTATGCAAGGAAGGACTTGCTGCTAACGACAAAGCACCAGATTTTGAGGTTGAGTTGTTCTTTGGGCCCCCACCAGGCCGAGATGGCACACTGGCTGAACTGTTAGCAGACTTGGCAACTGCCTGCCTGTTGACTACACCTCCTGCAAGAGGGAAAAAAGTGTATTAGGCTTGCTATCTATTAACACTTATGGCAGAAAAAATTTAAGCATGTTGATTCACACACCAGTGCTGCTTCTTTTGTCTGCAATCCCAGAGGTGACAGCTGTGTTAGTCGGTGCTCTCATTGTAGCAACTCTTGGCAGAGCTCTGGGAGGCTTTGAGGATGGTTTTGCTTCTGCAGCTTTTGATGCAGCCTTCGCAAGCAGAAAGAATAAACATGATATTAAGTTCATATTAATACTCAATGGGAACTCCAATTAAAACAAGCAATTAGCCGACTTTGTTCAACCTAAAAGATAACAAAATTATCTAACTGGAGTTTTTTTAATTAGTTCTATGCAACTCCAGAACAGGGTTTCAATGGACAAGACACAAGAGGTAATCTGATTTTCGGTAAATGCAAGAAATGGCTAGGCTCTTAAAAACAGATTCACGCCGAAAATAATTACATATTACTAATAACTACTCCCTCAGTAAACTAATGTCAGATCTTTTAGATTACTACTTTAGTGATCTAAAAATTCTTATATTAGTTTACAGAGGGAGTACAATTATAGATCCTGGTGTATCACGCAAACCCTAAACCTCTAGTTAGGGGTAGACAGCTAAGCTAAACTACAGAAAGATCATGGATATTCTGGAACTGCAATCATGTAACATACCACTCTTGCAGCTGCAGGCTCTTTCAGGGTGACTTGGGGCCTTTGTTTGGTACCACCAACGGAACCATTGCTTATTGAAGCAGGGGGCCTTATCTGAGGCAGCATTAACAAGTATTGATTAGTAATGATTACAGACTGCAGGAAAGTGGGTTCAAATCACTGAAGAATTGTGACAACATACCTTGCTCTGAGTCTGAGGTATCCGATCAACCCCCTTTCTCACTGGAAAGTAGCAACAAAGCAATCACATTAGTAAAAAACAGCAGACAATGCTCACTAAAGTTACAGCATAAGAAATAAGTGTGTTGCACCAACTTCTGAATTTGAGAAATCTTACCTGTGACAGGAGGCGCCTTTGCTGCGGACCTAGGGGTTTTTGAGCTTCCAGAAGCCACAATAGGAGCTTTATCAGGTTTCCCAAGCGTTCTCTGAATCGAAGCACGGACATCGTCAAACAGCTCAGTCTCAAGGCTTTCCAGCACAAAGCTTTCACTTTCCAACGAGGAGGTGGTGGACTCCATTGACCTCCTCATTTCCTCTGCTATTCCTGGCAGCAGCCTAGAACCCTGCGACTTGCGGAAAGTGCTGTTTACAATGCCCAATTCCTCGGTATCGAGAACACCTGCCCAGACCAGGAGGAATAGTTAGCTGCTATCAATCAACGCATCAGGGTGACAGGTATAACAAAAGACAAGTACATTGCTGGAAAGGGAAACGGTAAGAACTGCTGTATATCTAGTTATCTACATCAAAATGCACAGGTCTAATATAACAAAAGACAAGTACAGAGCTGGAAAGGGAAATGGTAAGAACTGCTGTATATCTACATCAAAATGCACAAGGCCAAATATAACAAAAGACAAGTACAGAGCTGGAATGGGAAATGGTAAGAAATTCTATCTATCTGCATCAAAATGCACAGGTCTAATAATATAACAAAAGACAAGTACATAGCTGGAAAGGGAAATGGTAATGGATTCTATCTATCTACATCAAAATGCACAGGTCCAGGCGACAATATTTTTTTCAGAAAACGAAGGGAAATGTTAGGAGCTGGTAGGAGTGGTAGAAACCCAGATCAGGATCCATGAGCCTGTGATGTGTATCATACTAACACGCAGCAGTCAGGAAACAACAGAGGTTTGGCTGGTCTGCGGAGGCGACGCACAAACCTTCGCTGGTGAAGAAGGCTTTGTCCCAGGCGAGGCTCTTGCGGAGGTTGACGCCCTTGGTCTTCTTCGGGGACTGCGCCCGCTCCGGGGCCTGCTCCGCGGGACCCACGGCCTGCCCGCCCGCCACCGCCGGAGGAGGAGGAGGAGATCCGACGGCGGGCCGCTTCGAATCGGCGCCCACCACCGCAGCACCTAATAATAACAAAAAACCGCAGCGCGGCGCGTCAGATCGGAGGCACCAACCAACCGGCGCGCAGATCCCCGCCGAAATGGAAACGCACGGGAACGGGAGGCGGCGGACGGCGCGCTGGCTGACTCACCTGGGGCGGCGCGGGCTGGCGGGTCGGGGTGCTGCGGCGGCGAGGCGAGGTCGAGGAGGAAGTCGTCCTCCTCGTCGGAGACGTCGATGAGGGAGAGCGCGTCCATCGCGGCGCAGGCGGGGTCGGAGGCGGGGGCGGGGGGCGAAACCCTAGATCGCCGCGGATGGGGGAGGAGGCGAGCTGCTAGAGAGAGACGTTGGGGGCTGAGATTTGGGGTGAGGGGCGGGCGGCGGGGGGGTGGAAATGGAAATGGATGGCGTGCGTATAAAAAAAGTTGGGACGGGGGTCGCGTAGTCGAGACGGGTGTGGAAGGGTGACGCGTGACGCGTTCGGGTGTGGCTGGCGGGTGGGTCCAGGCGTGGGTTTGGCACCGGGTTTTCTTTCCGGATGGGGCTGGGGTGAGCACATGGGCGGGATGGTTTGAAATTTCGGAGGAACGGAACGGTCTTGCGAGGCTAGGATAGTCTTTGCCTGATCCGAATAGTTTTGTGACGGAAAACGGTGACTGGCGAACGTTCACTGTTCGCTGGAGAGAGCGCAGCCATGTTTTCTCTTTTTTTGGAAAAAAAGACATTACAATCAAGCTATGATGTGCAAAATATCAATCACAAAGAGTAAATTATGATAAGAAATAGCGATGCAAAATGGGCGTATCAACGTGTAGGTCAACAAGTGAGAAAATCTCATGACAAACCAAATATGGCTATAACGATCGAGCAACAACTGAAACCCGTATAAAGTTAGAACAAAATTACATGTGGTAGTTTGTTTTGTTTATTAATAGTCGCAATAACATTATGAGCACCATTGAAATTACACCATCGGCTAAGAAATGGTCAGATATCGCTAATGGTGGAGTTTGTTGAAATGAGGAGTTTCCAAAGGGTGAAGATAATATGTTGATCTTGTCCCACTCTTTTTGTGCAATGGTACGGTTAACACTGCTCTAACAACTAGATGAAACCATGTGCGTTGCCGCCACACATTTAGAAAAAAAAAATTGTTTTCGAATATTACGTACATATGAGTACATGAAGCAAAAAAATCAAATGGAAAAATAATATTAATGGAACATCACACATCAGCTAGGTTGGCGTACCAATAACTCGTATGATCGATTAACGATCACTCAAATGTTAGGTAAATGTGACATCTGCGGATTGTCAGAAATACATTGCGTTATGAGCATTAACAATATATACATGTTTTTCATCCAATACATATGGGCCTCTAAGTCCGCCTCAAATTACTGAAATGACATGCTAACGTACATCTTTTGAAACAATGTCGTCCACCTGCATGTGAATGGGGTTAGGGAATGGAATGCATGAGCGAATACAAATTTCTCTTTGACTTGATTGTTTTTTGAAACATCCCTTAGAGGCTTACACTTAATCAGGTGTTGTACATGGTCTAAGACGAATGATTTACTTGCTCAGTGGCATAAGGCAAACCAAAATACCTAGATATCCATTAATGAAAAGAACAATCGAGATACTAAGGTACTGCCAAAATAATTAATGAAGATGTTTACTAGTTGTGTACTACCAAGAAATTAACATCACTAAATATTTGCATTGGCTATTCATGAAAAATGTCATGATTCCCACACCACTCTTTGTCTTCTTTTGTTTAGTCAAATCGCTGCATATTTTGAAATAAAAGAAGTTGACCGAACGACCAATGAAACTTTTGTAAGGTGGAACGGTAAGCAGTTGTGAAAATGGACAACTTGCAGGATACTAGAGTATCTATTTCAATTTTTGTACAATAGCGTGAGGTCAGCCATGAGATGCATCTAGACATCTCATACAAAATAGTTGCTTATCAAAAGCTATGGAATTCAAACAACATAGATGAAAAAACGAAAGAGCTTTTGTTTTAGAATGTCACCTTAGGAGGACCTCAACTACAATGAGGTTTCGCTTTACAACACGCAAGCTAGCAACAGTTGAAAAATAGAACGGGGCATTGAAAAAAAAAGATCTCCATAACAAAATTGACCATCATCCTTTTAATATAGAGGCTAAAGTAAATCATGGTACATTAATCTTCCAATATCTGAAACTTGGCGTGAAGTTCATTGGTAATTTAGAGCACATAAAATTCTAGCCAAAGCCACTGCTAACAAATCAATATGGTATGCTTCACCATAACCTTCATGAGCAAACCTAGGATATCATAGAACCGGAAAGCGACCAAAAAATGTAGATACAAAGCAAGAGAAAAGTGCAAGTAAAAAAATTGTTATAATGTCATTGAAACTTATCAGCATGGATAAGAATGGCATGCATGAATGGACCCAATCAAACAAAGTCAGAACAAAGTAGATCCCCTGCACGCTCAACCCATGAGGAAGCTCCAAATCAGATATCCTAACGCTAGGCATACCAAATTAAATCAAGGGTGTGGGAATTCACCCAAGGTTTGGGTTCAATTCCCTTACATCATCGACATCTGCCTCCTTGACGTGCGCGTCAACACCTCAGGAGTTACCGATTGTCTGTCCTTGCAGCAATGATGAAAGAGCACGAATATGACCATGGAGGCGTTCACTTGAATCGGGAGGACAAGAGAAGATGGACTTGGAAAGGGGAAATATGAACATTCGAGGAAAATGATTTATTTTATAATTGATTAAAACAGAGGAAATTGTTTTTTTAGGGGGAACAAAGGAAATTGGTGGGAGTGGGAGAGGAGCTGGCATCGTTGATTCAGAGAATGTTAGGGCATTGTCGGAGTAATGGGCCACGAGTAGGCCAACCCGAGCCCCAGGACCTTTCAAGACTTCGGGGCAGGCCGCGCCCCTCAAGCCGAGTCCCAGATGGCGACTCCAAGATAAGCCGAGTCCCAGATGGCGACTCCAAGATAAGCCGACTCCAAGCCGGCGACCTCCAGGGAGGCCGGCTATGGAGAGTCGGCCCACGACTCCACCCTCGTCTCGAAGGACGAGGCGGGGTACGGCCACGGCATGGCCGTCCCCCCCCCCCCAGCTTACGACGGGTCGACATGGCTACAGTGGGCCGTATCGCGGGAGATCTCGGGCGAGGCGCGGCACTGTTGCCATGCCTGCCCTGACCTCAGCCACAGTAGGCGGCGCACTATGCCCATGACGCCGGCCTATACGGCCCAAGGGCGGCGGGGCCGCCCGTCAGTGGGTAGACCGAAGACGGCATGAGCGCCCTGAAGACGGACCGGTGGGAGTCGGCCCCCTGGAGTCGGCCGACCCCTCCCCCGGGCCCCACACGCCATTAACCAGATATGATGGGGAGTGGCGACAGTAAACGCACGCCGGGTGGCGGCGCTGTAGCCATGACCGCATGACCCAGCTAACGTCATCAGGAGTACCGCTACAGTCTCAGGCCTGTCCGCGGGGCCCGCCAGTCGGCGGGCCCCAGGAGTCGGCAGGAAGGACGACGGCTTGAGAGACAGACGGCTGGGACCCGCTCCCAGCCGGATTACTATTGTACCCCTGGAGGGTAGACCTATATAAACCCCCCGGGAAGCCCATGCAAAGGGTTCAGACCCAGATAGGCATAGACCTTAGATCATCGGAGGGAGAAGCTAGCCTTGCCTTCTCCTACCTCCAGAAATAGTTCTAGGAGCACCATTGTAACCGCTTTGCCATGGTGACCATGCGGAGACCTCGCAGAGCAGCAGTAGGGGTGTTATCTCCTCGGAGAGCCCTAAAGCTGGGTAAGTTCCGCCGGCGTGCATGTCTTCGCCTCATCCCGCTTCCGGGCACCGGCGATGTTCTACTCGCTCCCACCATGATAAGCCATCCTTTGGCATATGTCGTACCCAACCCCCGACATTTGGCGCCCACCGTGGGGCGAGGTGCACCGTCGTCCGAAGACCTGCTCTGGACGGGAACCCTTTTCCTCCCTGGCGAATGCAGCCAGCCCGGCACGCCAGACGGAGTTTGCGCCGACGCGCTGCGCGGCGCTGATATCGCCTGCGCGGCCAGCAGCCTCGCCGAGCTTATTGGTGAGGTTGGCCTCTCCGACGAGCCTGCTTTCGACGCAGGCACGAGCGGCCCCGAGAGCCTCCTCGCGGGTCTCCTCGACCAACTCCACGTCACCGGCGAGCTTGCCGTGGACCTGGAGTCCATAGGATCCACCGACCTGATGTTGGTCGACTCCGACACCGCGTCGCTCGACGCGTTTCCCACCAACGTGGTGGTCTACGACGAGCCGCTCCCTTACGAGGGGAGCGACGGAAGCACCGTACAGAAGTTCTCGTCCTCGATCACGGCGAGCGTTCTGGTGAAGAAGCGACGACCCGCTCGACGCGGCTCTGCGAGACCTTACCGCGCCGATTCCGGGAGATGCTGACGCCGAGACGCTGGAGGCACGTCGCCTTGAGCTTATTGAGGGTGCGAAGAAGTTGGCAAGCATGAGACGCTTGTCAGAAGCGTACCAGCGCGAGATGGATCGCGCCGTGGGCGGCTCGCCGGCTCCGACTGGGCCTAGCTGCCTAGGAGCGGTCCAACAACGCGGCGTGGCAATCGCCAACCTGTTCGGGGCTGATCGCCCTGTGTATGCCACGCCCGCGGAGAATATCCGTGCCACCCAGGCGGTGGCAGACGAGCTCGACAACTTCGAGGGAGAAGAGCGCCGCGCGATGACGGAGCGAGTTCAGCAGCTCCTCGACGCGGCCGTCGCGCAGAACGAGGTCGGCTGCCGCGCAGAGGCGCCGCAGCGACAAAACAATGACCCGCCGCCCCGCCGAGACCAAGGCGCGACGTCCCGAACGCCGACTGGCGGAGCCCGCGGAAAGAAGGACAAGGAGCCGGCTGTCAGCCACAGTCGGACTCGCATCACCATCGAGCGCGATCAAGATGGCCGCCCCAAAGCGGTGGAACGGCGGGACGACTACCTGCCTCCCCCTCCTCGCAGAGAAAGGCGAGTCTCCCCGCCGCCCGTGGAACATCTGACTCTCGGTGACCGACTCGGCCGCTGAGAGGGAGTCGGAGAAAATGACGCCCACCACCGGATCGATCGACTCCATCGGTCCCTGGCGCTGGAAGAAGAAGACGAGTTGGGTCCACCCTGCTTTGGGCCCCCCATCCGAGATGAGCCCTTCCCTAAAGGGTTCACGCTCCCC